GTCCAATATAGATAGATAGATATATATACACCATATATATATAATTTATAATTTTTTATTTTTTTCACTTTTTTTTTTTAGAAAAGTCCATGCCTTGACATATATTGATATACTACTGCATTTTCTTTTTGCCTCTTCCAATGACCTCAAATCCCTCCACTCAACTACCTAGGACATCTCGTTTGTTACAAAACAAAGCAGGGCTGTCCTTATAACGGGTCAGACTTAGGTTGCTGCACCCCCACCACCGCTGTTGCCTCAGGGGGCATCTTTTTGGGTCTCGTGGGGGGGCGGTGGCAAGCAGAGCGGCATGGCCGCTCTACTGCACAATGTTTGCGGTGTGACTGTCGTCCCCTTTCCGGCCAGAGTGTCCCAGGTTGCTAAAAGCCAACCGCTCTTATTTCATGTGAGAGAGAATGCAGCAGGAGCTGTGAGGGGGCAGCCAAGTTTTCCAGAGATGATGTGTCACCACTGGAAGCCTTGAAATATTTTAAAACCATTGTGTGGTTCCAGCCACAGTCACCCACCCATCACTAACATATCAGTTTCGGATGTATGTTAGATGTCCGTTATTAATAATGACTCATTTGGCGATCATAGACTAGCTGAATCACAGACCCGGAGGATCACCTAATAGACTTTTGGAGTATAAAGAAGTTCTCCCCCTCTAATTCTGGCCCAGCAAACTAGTATTCTGTTAACACCCGACTGACTTAAAGGCCCGCTCCTTCTAAAATTGACAATTCTAATATTTTTATTTTGCGGACTTTAGTATTGAGAGATCCCCTCCAGAATTCCTAATTCTACCCAATTGCCATGGTTGTCACATTGCCAAATAAAGTATTCACGTTAAAGCACAACGGAACTTTCAGTTTAATTCAGCTAAATACATTCCAGAGGCCTCAAATGGTCGGGAAAACTTAAGTTACTCCCCCCCCCCCTCTGTCGAGAGCTGACGAAGAATGGTAGACTTTCTAGAAGACTAGACACACCCTGTCCGACCCATTTTCAGCCAGATCAGGTGATGGTTCGTTGTCCGTGAGAGGCTCTTGCTAGTACATAGTGGCCCCTGCTATTGGATTAGATTAGAAATCTGTGCCTATTGCTCCATCGTCCACCATCAATGGTCACCTCCTCTGCTGCCTCTGCATTCAAAGAACAGGAATGTATAGCTGGCCTAAACATTTAGGAAAACTGCTGGAGGTGGGTCGGATCTTGCCGTGGTTGGCTTATACGTTGCTGTCATCTAAACAGCTTGTGGCATGGGTCAAACCAGAGGCCTCAAATGGTCGGGAAAACTTAAGTTACTCCCCCCCCCTCTGTCGAGAGCTGACGAAGAATGGTAGACTTTCTAGAAGACTAGACACACCCTGTCCGACCCATTTTCAGCCAGATCAGGTGATGGTTCGTTGTCCGTGAGAGGCTCTTGCTAGTACATAGTGGCCCCTGCTATTGGATTAGATTAGAAATCTGTGCCTATTGCTCCATCGTCCACCATCAATGGTCACCTCCTCTGCTGCCTCTGCATTCAAAGAACAGGAATGTATAGCTGGCCTAAACATTTAGGAAAACTGCTGGAGGTGGGTCGGATCTTGCCGTGGTTGGCTTATACGTTGCTGTCATCTAAACAGCTTGTGGCATGGGTCAAGGGATCTCTCTGAACACAGATTCACTTGTAGATGGAGACCCCTGTTAGTATAAAGGAACAGGCTTCTAAGGATGTGTACAGAGTAACCAGTTCTCCTGGCTTATAGTGGTTCTGGCCAAATATCTTATCTATGGCCAGCCTTAGTCAAAGAAAGGGAAATGAAAATAGTAGGAGACCCTTCCAATCAGCCCACTGAATGAAATCCAGCTGACATAAGACCTCCAGAGTTTTTAGTTTGCCTCCAGGTTCATTGCAGGGTCCTGGGAAGTGCTGGGGAGGCGCTCTGTCAGATGGTGTGTATATAGAACGTGTATTGCTTGCCATAGCAGATTAGAGCCGATTAGAAGACTCAGCAATAGCCGGGAAACGTTTAAAGAGGATGATCCCTTCAAGGTCATTAGGGGACAAGACAGAGCTTATCCCAGGGTCTGTATACTGACATTGTCATGCAGCTCTAGTGTACACACAACTATCACCTCCAGAGAATCTGAAGTCTCTTAGATTTTAAGGCTACATTGCCTCGAAAAGAAACTTTCACCGCCTGGGATGTTGTCCTCTTTTAATGACCTAGACCTTTTCACAATGGTCCACATAAATACTTATGTATGTGAAAGGGCCGGTTCACACCAGGCTAATAGTGTTGTGTTGGGCAGTGTTGTCCAATGCAGGCACAATGCAAAGACGAGGCCTCTGTCCACCAACACACTACATTGATGTGCATTGCGGCATGTTACAACTCGTGGCAATGCGTCACAATTCACTTCTGTACGAAGATTGAAATGTCCATTCACAAAATGTAATGTTACATTTCAAATAAAGTGGCCCCTTACACATCGAGCTCGCAGGCGTATTGGTGTGTGGACTGGTGTGAACCAACCCAAAGTGGTAATAGATTCCACAGTCAATTACAGCCTTGAGTCTATGTGGAGAGGTGTCCATGAGCTTTGCACATCCGGACCGTTCATTGTGCATTATTATTACACAGGATTTATATAGCGCCAACAGTGTGCGCAGCGCTTTACAATATAAGGAAGATATTACAATCGCAATACAATTCAAGACCAGATGGTAAGGAGGGCCCCGCCCCTGAGGGCTTACAATCTAAAAGGGAGGGGCAAGCGATACAGGAGGAGGTTGCTGTGTGGGGATGAATTGTTTGAGAACTTGATAGTTCAGTGCTTAGGTTGAGGTGGGATAGGCTTCCCTGAAGAGATGAGTCTTAAGAGCTCGCCTAAAGGCAGTCAGAGTGGGCGATAGACGGACAAGTTGGGGTAAAGAGTTCCATAGGATGGGATAGACTCTAGAGATAGCCTCCTCCAGCATCCGCAAATATCTGAAATATCTCTACAGCTCTTACAAACTGTGATGAGGGACTGAAATAAGAATTATATGGTTGACCTGAATCCACCAAACGGATATTGTTGGTTCACTCAGAGGTCTGGTATATGTGTGGCCCCTGGGTGCACAGGCACTGTGGCCTGTGGCTTTCCATAAATGGGTCAGCCCGGTTGAATCTTCCTTGTTGGTCTCATTTAGCTTTTTATCAGAAATGTGGCCATGGATCCACTTCAAGCCTTCTACTGCTAGCACCAGTCTCTCTGAAAGTCCTAATACTGAACTCCGTGACTATCGGGAATGAAATAGGACTCTTGTGTCTCTGCAGAGAAGCAGCTCGGTCAGCTTAGAGAGTCAGAACCCTGTGGATGCCATCTATCTGAGAGATCGGGCAGTCGTACTCGCTCTTATTAGAGAGGAGGTAAAGCCACCGGAGATGGTCTCTGTTGTCCATGCATAGTTACCATGAGTGTCCATCCATACAAAACATCTTTGCTCTCATTATCAGACGTGCAGCATTGCTATCTAGTCAAACGTCCGTGCTCTGTTTGTGGAAATCAATTTGTAGTAATATTGTATGTTCATGTGGGAAGGTCGGGGTGGCCATCAGTGATGGAACAAGATCCTTTAGCACCCAAGGGCCAAAGTGCACCCCAGAGGTTGAGCTGTGAACTACCCCAGCAGCATTGGTTGCAGGTCTTGCCATTTTTGAGCCCACCTTCTGGTGCAGTGCCCAAGGTGGCTCCTTTTCTGCATACCCCTCAGCGCGGCCCAGGTGACTAAATACTATTCCTCCACTAAAAGCTGATATCAGGAAAATGAACTGCCCACTTGTCTGTTATTTCTGTTCGGGATTTCCATTAGAGAGATGTTTTATGTTCAGTTCACAACTTAACCTACCTACCTCGTGAAAGTGTTCTCACCCTTTTGGATGACCTATTTGTTATGCTGGACCATAAATACAGAAAGAGTTTTGAGACACTGGTGGTTAGAACATCTCACTCCTGGAGTCCCACCAACATCCTAATCCCTTGGGTTATATAAAATAAAGTCCCTCTTCTACAGCTTCCAAAGTTGTGTTTTTGTAAGATATTCGACTATTTGGGTGGTGGCACGTGGGCTGTTTTTTTTTAGCGAGCTCTTTATCTGTTCAGGAAATTTAGAAGCACATAATCTGCTGAGATGGCTTTCTGTTGGATTCTAACTGCCCACGGGTTTTCCTGGGCGTATTCTTGGTTATGCTTTAGAGGAGGAATGAGCAAAGGATGTTCTCTACATGACGATTGTTGTCAGGATCCGATTCTTGGCTCTGGACCACAGATGGAAAACCACAATACATTTTTGTGGTCTCCAGCTCTTTGGAATCCATATTCATTCCAGAGGGCGTTTGCTGGGTGTGAAACAAATAGTTGACCGCTCTGGTCCCGGAAAACAGCACATTCCAACGTAGAAAAGTTTGCACACCCCTGTTCTGGAATTGAATGTTGCTGCCAACATTTAATGAGTTGAAGTATGTGCCCGTCACCTGTGACTGTTCTCATTTTTCCAGGCCATTGTAGCTGAGAGGTAGGCAACCTTGACACTTCAGCTGTGGTGGAGCTACAAATCCCGTCATGTCTGTTGCTGTCAGTTGTGCAATGCCTCATGGGACTTTCAACACAACTGGAGTGCCATGGTCGTCTACCATTGGTAAAGCTTAGTAGTACCTAGTCACATTCAACTAGACTTGTCCTGAAATGTTGAAGACATTTCGTAACTTCTCCAAGCCACTTCTTCAGTTCTTGGGCAATCAACATCTACATATTCCATGGTGATTGGCTCAAGATGTCTGTGCTACCTGTGTGGATATAAATGTTGAGGTACCTTCCTGACACTCATGAGAATTGAAGAGTAACTCTAAAATGTCTTCAACATTTGGGAACAAGTCCAGTTGAATGTGACCAACTACTACTAAGCTATACCAGTGGTAAACAAACTTGGTACTCTAGCTGGGGTGCAAGTCCCATGAGGCATTGCAAGACTCTGGCTATAAATTACCCCATTTGCCACCAACTTGAAAATTAGCCCATGTACCACCAAAATGACAGTAGGCCCGGGGGCCAGCGACCTGAGAGTAGGCCCGGGGGCCAGCGACCTGAGAGTAGGCCCGGGGGCCAGCAACCTGAATCTTGCAAAACTGTTCATCATTGCAGTGTTTCACCTGTTGTGATAATGAGTATATTTGTCATTACTGCTTCTCTCAAAAATGCTTTAACCCATTTGTAGTTAAATCGTCTGTTCCCCGTATATATTCATGACTCAGATAGTTACATGCTTCAGTGTAAATCTAGTTCTCATCAACAACAGTTTTACGTTTCCGATTCCCACATGATTACAACTGGAAGAAATTGTGAAGACATTTGTGTTGCCTCCAGCATCCAGAGATAATTGTTCACCTTCAGTACACTGTGCAAGGAACTCGGTGCAGTTACCCAACAACAGTTCATGGGGCCCCTCAGTAAAACCTTGTTTGGGCCCCTCTTTGACCTCCCTGCTGTCAGTGATCTTAAGTATGTGTAAATCAAGGTAGCGGTAGAGCGGTCAGTACGGTACTAGTGGTCAGAACAGAAGTTTTCAGGGAAGAGGGAATGTGTGTTATCTTCAAATGCACACAGGTTTTCTTAAAATTGGCTTAGGGGCCCCCTTCCACTTCCAGGCCCCATAGCAGCTGTGTGTGCCGCTACGCCACTGACCCAAGGCAACCAATCAAAATTGACTCACTTAAACCTGACAAGCAGTACATGATATATTCTGATTGCTTAGTGTGCGCACTGAACTCTCACGCATATCTAAAACTGAAACTTTATTTTAGTTTTGGCTGGGGTAAAGGTGCCCATACACCTTACGACCATCGCAAGACTTTTGTCTTGCGATGGTCGTATGCTTATTGAAAGCTCGTACGATCTGCCCACCTTGGACGGGCAGATCGTACTTGCGATCATCGAAAGCCCACCCCGCTGAGGGGCGGGCTTCCGATAACCGCAATGCAGAACGGGCAGTGTGCGCGTGTGCACACCGGCCCGTTCCATAGCTATCGAACGAGCAGGCTAGAAACCCGCCGACAATTGTACGATTCTCTGCGGGTTTTCGAGCATGTTGGTTCGACAAAAGACGTGCGACCGTACAGTAGAAACGGTCGCACGCCTTCCATACACTGTACGATTCTCGTAGGATCGCGGGATTTCCCGCGATTCTCGTACGAGAATCGTACAGTGTACGGGCACCTTAAGGAAGGATTAAAACTCCTGTCATGTTTAATTGCCATCTACGCTGCCAGTCCCGAGATTCACCCACCTGGTAAAGATTGTCTCCAGTACAGATGGGAGATGCAAAGCTATAGAGCTGTCCTAGGAACAGGAAATGAGGGGAAATCTTTTCTGGTGATGGCTGTCTGCAGGAAGAGGACTTCTCACTTTGCAAAGATCTGAGATGGCATCTGATTGGTTACTGTTGGCAGCACAATCGATTCTCTTTCTTCCAGTTATAAATCATTTCTATTACCTGCAGCCGTCGAGTAACATTGTGTGTTCTGTATTCATGTCTAAAGATCATAATGAAGGAGCTTGAAGTGAAGGACTGGCAGGTACGCTATGAGCAGAGTCACACAGAGGTGCTGGAAATGAGGTACGTGGCATGATACACCCAGTTGTACTGTGTTTATTGTTGACACACGTGGCACTTTAATCACATCCTGCCAGCTTTACAGGGGCAGCACAGAGGTGGGCCTCAATGTCACAGTGGAGATGATGGCCATGATGTGTCGGATGACACGCAAGTAAGATTGTCCATTACTGGACCTCCATTCCATGAGATCATTGCACAAAAATCCCACTAGTTGTAGCTTGTGGATTTGCCATATTTATATACATAGTATTAAATCCGTATGAATTTCTTTTAGTTGCTTCATTCATATGTGAAGACAAGCCAACCAAGAGACCTCTTTTGAAGTAATAATGGTACCTTGCTGGATTGGTGGTGATGATGATTTTAAAGGCCTGGGGAAGGGGATTGGGGGCAATCCACTGAGGACCTGTAATCTATATCTAGGAAGGCAACACAAAGAGGGGGATTTATCACAATTGGAGCAGACAAAATCTGAAGCAGTTGCCAGGGGCAGCCAATCAGCTTCTCTCTTCAATTTGTTCATATAAGATTTGAAAATGAAAGATCGAAGCCGATTGGTTGCCGTGCACAGCTGCTCCAGATTTTGTCTGCTCCAGTGTTGATAAATTCCCCTCAAAGAATGTCTGTTATCGTGAATGTTATGTGCAGCTGCATTCATAATGTTCACATTGTGTAGTGATGTGGAGTATGACTTGCTTGATCTTTACTTCTTTTGTCTTGCAGAAAGATCGTTGCAGAGTACGAGAAAACCATCGCACAGATGATCGGTGAGATGTCTTCTTAGTGGTGGGATCACTGAGTGCAGCGGGAGACTAGTGGAAGTGTCGGGGTCGGTAGAGTCTTTGGGTGGAGATGGCAATGTGAAGTTTTGCGATCTTCTTTCAGAGGACCCTTTTTAATGCCCATTGTATTTTAGCAACAGAGTCACTATACACTCACCGGCCTTTTTATTAGGTACACCTTGCTAGTACCGGGTTGGAGCCCCTTTTGCCTTCAGAACTGCCTTCTTTCTTCGTGGCATAGAGTCAACAAGATGTTGGAAACATTCCTCAGAGATTTTGGTCCATATTGACATGTTGGCATCACGGGCCCAAAGTGTGCCAAGAAAATATCCCCCGCACCATTACACCACCACCAGCCTGAACCGTTGATACAAGGCAGGATGGATCTATGCTTTCATGTTGTTTACGCCAAATTCTGACCCGACCATCTAAATGTCACAGCTGAAATGGAGACTCATCAGACTAGGCAACGTTTTTGCAATCTTCTATTGTCCATTTCTGGTGAGCCTGTGCGAATTGTAGCCTCCGCTTCCTGTTCTTAGCGGACATGAGTGGCACCCTAGTGGTCTTCTGCTGCTGTTGTCCATCTGATTCAAGGTTCAACATGTTGTGCGTTCAGAGATGGTATTCTGCATACCTCGGATGTAACAAGTGGTTATTTGAGTTACTGTTGTCTTTCTATCAGCTTGAACCAGTCTGCCCATTCTCCTCTGACCTCTGACATCAACAAGGCATTCTCCTCCACAAAACTGCCTCTTAGTGGCAGTTTTGAAATACTCGGACCAGCCCATCTGGCACCAACAACCATGTCACGTTCAATGTCACTTAAATCCCCTTTCTTCCCCATTCTGATGCTCGGTTTGAACATCAGCAAGTCGTCTTCACCACCTCTAGATGCCTTAATGCATTGAGTTGCTGCCATGTGATTGGCTGATTAGCAATTTGTGTTTTCCAAGCAATTGAACAGGTGTACCTAATAAAGTGGCCGGTGAGTGTAAATCGACACTATCATCTATCATTTCTTAATTCAACTTTCCCTATGTAATTGTGCAAATCCGCTTCATCTGGGGCTTCCCTAGTGGCATCCCAATCTGCTGCTCTATAATTGCTAAGTTTTGTAAATGGGTGCCAAAAACATTATAGGGCACTTTTCTCTGCAATCCTCTCCTGTCCATACTGCCCACTGCCATACTCTCCACACTGCTCTCCTGTCCATACTGCCCACTGCCATACTATCCACACTGCTCTCCTGTCCATACTGCCCACTGCCATACTGCCCACTGCCATACTGCCCACTGCCATACTCTCCACACTGCTCTCCTGAGCGCCTCCTCTCAGCTGCGCCTCATGGTAGCTACAGCCCTGTCTGCACCCCTCTACTGCAGATACTTCCAGCTTTCATACTCTCTGCATTCCTCTCCTGCCCCCTTTCATACCCTCCACACTCCTCTCCTGCCCCCTTTCATACCCTCCACACTCCACTCCTGCCCCCTTTCATATCCTCCACAATATTCTCATGCACCTGTAGTTCCCGGCAGGACAGGGCAACAGGAATGCCTGATTCTAATTGTTATAATGACATTGTGGCTTGGTGTAATCAGTGTCTGAAAGATAACTACTCTACATGATCATTATATTGAATGGTGACACTATTGCATGTATAACCAGCATTAAATCCTGCCTGATGTTTAGAGACCCTCCATTACCTTTGGTCAGCTTCTAGCCTACACCTCCTGCAACGGGGTTCTGTTGTGTCATTTGTGCTAAATTTTGTAAATGAGTGCCATTGTTTCTGTGACAGAGGATGAGCAGAGGAGCAATGTGAGCGCTCAGAAGAGCCTACAACAGGTGACACAAGAGAAGGAGCAAGCCCTGGCCGATCTGAACTCTGTGGAGAGATCCTTGTCTGACCTCTTCAGAAGATACGAGAACCTAAAAGGTGTCCTAGAAGGCTTCAAGAAGGTAAAATGTCCCAATATTACTGAACCCTGGGATACTGAGGCCTCAAACTAAGTGCCATGTGGGTGTATGCTTCATTAGATTTAAAGAGGAACTGCGCCCCCCCC